TGGCGTGAAGTCATGTGACCGTGCTGTAGTTCCTTTATAGCCCAACATTAGCCGAGAAACGATATTTCTGGATGTACAACATGTAGAATTCTTGACAATAAAGCTGACTTTGACTTTGATTACTTGACCAAAGCCGGCTCCAGTCGTTCACTTAAAAGAGCCGGCTCGTTCGCGACCGACACATCACTACTCAGAATATGTTAATAGCGGGAGATGACAGGAGTAAAGGATATGGGAAAATGTAACAACAACAACAACATTAAGCACAATTATTACTTTAAGTGTTGTTTATGTTGTTGTTTCTTGTATTCATCTTGCCTCTGTCCACATTTTTTATCTTAATTTGCTTTTGTTTGACTTTCTGTTGTTCAGAATCAGAATAGCTTTATTAGTCCCACAGAGGGGACATGTACATTTGTTACAGCAGAAAAGACCTTAATGTTAACTAAGAAGCATGCATTAAAAAAAATACACATACACAGAAGATTGTTATTTAATATCTGCTTTCTATCCATCGAAGGAGTTCATAAACAGATTCTTAAAGGTGCTTTATGAACACAATTCTCCAAAACTATCATTTCATTATTAGCACATTTAGCAAAATGTAAACCTGCCATTATCATATATCCCTGTGTGAACCAAAATACCACCTTTACATACAGGTTAATACACCATTAGAGTGGTGCTTTGGCTCCTCACCCAGCGGTATGACGAGGAACCTCATGTATCCGAGCCAGTCGGGGGTCTTGTGGGAGAGATGGTCCACGAACAGCCTCAGCACGGCGCTCAGGTAGTGCTGTGCTCCGGCCACCGCGATCTTTATGGGGATCGGCGTCTGAGAGTTACAGTTACAACTACGAGAGGAGAGGAGGAGGAATGATGAGCTTAAAGATCTCCTATCATGATATTTTAGGCATATATTATGGGTCTCAGATATATAAAAATATATAAGAAAAACATGTCTATGATGTGTTTTGCTCAAAATACCAAACAGATCATGCATTTTAGACACCCCTCATTTCCCTCTATTTCAGCCCTGTGAGAGAAACACTGATTTGGGGTCCTTAGCTTGAAAAAAAAAGAGGAGGGGGAGCTCATGCCTGCTCAGAATTACCCGGCAGATACAATTAAATTCTGCCGTGATTAAACGCCATATCATGTTCCAAACCACATCAAGGATTATTTCTGAAACAGTATGGAGCTCAAAGGCTTTCTCTCTTGCCGGTTATACCACAAGGTGAGTTCCTTTTTATTTCCTGCTTCTTCACACACATGCTCTCCAGTACAGGTTAGCTCTGAGTGTTAGCGATGCTAATGTAAACACCGACCATATTACGTCCAAAACAGTCGGGCATTGTTTCTGACAGCAACGTTTCTGATTGGGCCGTGGGTCCACATTTCAGATATTACGTCATATCGGACGCAAATCTGGATCAGCTCCGTTGTTCCCCCGTTTTTAGAGATTTGGGTACGGAGGAAAAGAGAGAGGGTTTTATTTTCTGACGCTGCGTGACTTCCCCGCATTTTGCATGCTAGGTCCTCTTTAAAGTTTCACAAACAATATCTAAAGATCTGAGTGAGAGGCTGACTCACAATCTCTGGATGCGGGACACGATGGTGTTTAAGGCGGCCTGGATGTCGGCCGTGGTGCAGGTGCAGACCACCGGGAGCTGCTGGTTCTGCAGCAGGTCGGACAGATACTGGGAGGAGGGGGGGGAGAAAAGAAAATGTGAAAATCTTTCCCCTGTCATGAAATGCATTGGTTATACATTTTATTTGTAAAGCACCTTTCATTGCTAAAAGTAATCCCAAAGTGCTACAACGGGCGTAATAAAAAAAAAGAAACACAAGTTTAATCAAAGACTTGTATAAATATTAAGGTTAATAATTGTATTACAAGCTATCCTTGAAAAAAATAAACAATGAATGCTTCTCTTGGTTTGACTGATTGGTTTGACAGTTAACATTTTATTAATGAAAGGTAAAGATAAATATAACTAAAAAGACACAAATTATACATTAACGGCATATACCCCTCTGTCATTCAACTTTTTTTATAAAAAATACCTACTTAACATGTTCACATATATTCTTTCTCACACACCTGCATATAAAAATAATGTTTATATTCCATACATTTTAAACCAGCTTTTAATTATTTAAAATATCAAATACAACAAAAATAATAATGAATAAAAAAAGTATAGAAATAAATGGTTAAAAATGAATAAGAAGATATTCATAACAATTAATACACTGAAAAAATAATATTAAATAATATTAATTTAAAAGTCGATTAAAAACCTTGAAAATTGTGATCCATCTTCTATATCCTTTATTATTTTTCTTTATCTATTACATACAAAAAAGGGTGAAAACCATATGTTCTGTAACTTTTTATCTATATCTATCCACGGTTATAATAATACATTAAAAACAATAAATAAGAAATGCAAGAGTATACTGTATAAGACGCTTGTTTTCCTCACCTGGCCCTGCCAGTCGGAGGTGTTGATGAGGATGATGCTGTCGGGGAGCTGGTTATCAGAGACCAGGATGTGATTCAGCTGATCGTACACCGTCTTCCTGGGGATCTACGGAGGGAAAACAACCTGTAACCAACAGGTATCACAAGGGAACCCCTGACTTCATTACTGACATTAACGGCCCGTCCACACTACAGCTTCAAAAAAAGCTTGCCGGCGGGCGTGTCTGAAGCTCGACCAACAACCAATCACATGAATCTCCCGCCCCTGACACACAAGCAGCGGTTTGATTGGCTAGAGCTTGTACTGGCATATGATTTGATTGGCTGACGCTTCCACCGAAAGCTTCAGAAGCTTCAAAAGTTGAACATTGCTCAACTTTTGCAGCCTGAAACGCCAGGAAAGCTCCGCTCTGCTACCCACAATTCAGTTCGGCAAAAAGCGAGGCAACGTGACGTCACCCCATTCAAAGTGAATGGGCAGACGCGTTGGGAACTGTTTTTGAAGCTGTCGAAGCTGTAGTGTGGACGGGCCGTAACACAAGTCTTTTTATATTATTATTATATTTCTGACATGTTATGTTTAAATATGTCTATGCAGCTGTGCCCTCCAACACAAGCTATAACATATCTTGTTGTTAAATACAAAGTATGTGCATATATATATGCCGTTAATAACTGTGCAATATATACCTGGCTGCTAAATCTTCAGAACTGTTACAGGATGTGTATTTTGTAAATTGTGTAACTTTCTTTAATTATTTGTATGCATCAGAATCAGAAGCAGAAACAGGTTTATTACCTGGGAGGTTTACACGTACGAGGAATTTGACTTGGTGTCGTGGTGCATACATAAAAGTAAAACAATAATTAAAAACACAGGTAGAGAACTAAAACAAATATTGAGAATAATACAAAATATAGTGAAATATAACAGTATTTGCAATGGAATGGAATAAAAAGGAATAAAATATGGAATAATAATCCGCAGTAATAAAAAAAAAAAGAACACAGATATTGTTGTACATTGTGTGCATTAATGTAATGCATAGATGCTTGCATGCTTCTACGTAACATTAAGCTGTCTTTGGCTCTTTTCTGCTGTAACAAATCTACATTTCCCCTCTGTGGGAATAATAAAGGTGATTCTGATTCTGTTCTGACTCCGACCTGCAGGTGGCAGCGTGTGTCCAGCGACCGCTCGTTGTCCAGACTGTTCGCTCTCTCGTTCTGCGGTCGGCTCGGCTGGCGCTCCTTCAGTGACGTACTCCGACCGCGACGCCCCGCCAACTTCGGCTCCTGCCTGGAAACAACAACAACAACATTTAACACACAAATTGTAATTTAGGAAACAACATGTAAATATATAATAATAATAATAATATACATACACTTATGTTGACACATTTATTTCCTATTTCTCCCCTTTAAATGACATTTATTTATTGAATAAAAAACCTGATTTGAAAATGTTTCCTATATATACAGTTTATACAATATATGTCATTTAAATGTCAATTTACCATCTTTAAATGTGTTTAATAAGCATGTTATATAGGCAAGGCAAGGCAAGTTTATTTATATAGCACTTTTCAACACAAGGCAATTCAAAGTGCTTTACAAAAAATGAAAGACATTAAGAAAATGGCATTTAAAATCAGTCATTAAAAAGAAAAGTTAATAAAATAAACATTAAAAGAAAAAATACATGGATAAAAGTTACAATGCAGTTTAAGATGTGAATAGTTCAATTAAAAGCAGCGACAAAAAGAAAAGTCTTCAGCCTGGATTTAAAAGTAGTAAGAGTTGCAGCGGACCTGCAGGTTTCTGGGAGTTTGTTCCAGATATTTGGAGCATAATAACTGAACGCTGCTTCTCCATGTTTAGTTCTGACTCTGGGGACAGAATATACTGTGTTATAGTTATATATGTATGTTACCTGTTTGAGGAGATTATTAGAGACTCTGTCTTCGTCATCTTGCCGATGGGAGGAAGTCTCTCCAGAAACGTGTCCATGTTGTCCATCTCCAGCTCCGTGGTGGGGGTCACCGCCTCCGGCTCATCCTGAAGGGAAACATGGAGAAAAAGAGGGTTATTTTTAGATAAGAGATGATTTTTAGATAAGATAGGACTTTATTTATCCCGAAGGAAATTGTTGTGCCAGAGTTACAATAAACACAGCAGCATAATTATAAAACTGTACACTAACAGTGCAGTGAAAAGAGCAATTAAATATCTACAGGAAACATAGACGGACACATAATTAATGTAAATATTAATAGAAAGTGCATTATTCCTTTTTCATTACATGTCACTTGTTAGACGCTATTATCCAAAGCGATACTCAATACTATGGGCAATCCCCAGAGGAGCAATTTAGGGTGAAGTGTCTCAGGGACACAACAACATGCTGACTGGGGTTTGAACCCGTGACCCCCTGATCCGAGCACCAACGCACAATCCACTGCACCACACACCTTAAATGTCATTAATGACTGCAGACTTAACTATTAACGGCTCAATAGGGTCTTTTTCTGTATGTGACTGAATTTCTGCAGTTTTAAAAGCAAAAAAGTGCTTATTTTCACATGTTTTCCGTTATATATATTGACTCGCATGACAAGAATAATGGTCTTGAGTTTGAAGAGTTAATATACTCACAAAGGAGACGATATCCGACACGGTGTCATCTGGAAATTTGAGCCCGGCACTCTTTGTTTTATCTGGGTCAATCTGCAACCACACGGTGGGAAATATAATAAACCAGAAGTTTTAATTTCACAGAACAAGTAAAGAGTTTGTTTATTTAAAACCTTGTGATAGATTCCTGTACAGCAGAAGCCTTGAGGTTCCACAAATAGACGTTATCAGGTGATAAATGGTGGGAAAATCTGACTTTACACTGGTTACGCTTTATCACTGTCTTATTAAAGGGGCCCTATTCTGATTTCAAGGATTTTACCTCACCTGTAGAGTGTTCTGTAGGTTTTTGTGTATGTCAATGGTCTGCAAAGGCTAAAATAATAATGGCCATAGAGCTCCAACACATTGTACGTTCTATGCTAAGGGGCGGGACATCTCTAAACTGTTAACCAATCACAACAGAGCCAACTGGAACATGTTTAAATATTATTTGTCTCATACTGTCCGTCTAAAAGGCGAAATGTTTGCATCTTTACGCCCCCCTCCCGAAGAAAGGGGGTAGATCTCAAGCTGTCAGAGCAGACTATAGCCTGCATAAAGTATGTGTTGGTAGGGACTCCACATATACAAATGCTTTATACACAAGCAAAGAAAAAGTGAGTTTTTCATTAATGTCCCTTGAAAAAGTTGTATTAAGAGCAGTGGTTTCTCACCGGGCTCGGGGGCTCTCGGTGGCTTCGGACGCTGTGGAGGCTGCCGATCTCCGTCTGAGAGCTGGAGAGAGAAACACCCTCGAAATATGGCCTGAAACACAAGAAAACAGAAAATAAATTACTTTAAATCAACATGAATGCTCTTCTGAGTCTGAATCATTCCTCATTCCTGAAGTTCTGTGTACAGGAATGAGTCCTAAACCCTGATATGACTCAGCATTTTGTACTGTAGTTCCTTTATAGCCCAACATTAGCCACCTTTAGCTTAGCGGTGGTGGCATGAAGTCATGTGACCGTGCTGTAGTTCCTTTATAGCCCAACATTAGCCTCCTTTAGCTTAGCGGTGGTGACGTGAAGTCATGTGACCGTGCTGTAGTTCCTTTATAGCCCAACATTAGCCACCTTTAGCTTATCGGTGGTGATGTGAAGTCATGTGACCGTGCTGTAGTTCCTTTATAGCCCAACATCAGCCACCTTTAGTTTAGCGGTGGTGATGTGAAGTCATGTGACCGTGCTGTAGTTCCTTTATAGCCTAACATTAGCTTTTGGCTTTGAAAACCATAAAGTGGTGTTAATATGTGGAGATTATCCTGCTGAACAAAACGTGTAAATAGGCTATCATAAACGTTTATTGGACACAGAGGTTACATCTGACATAATCCAAAATCACAACCAGGGAGATGCTGCCTTCAGGGACCAACACAGAAACACCACATTCAGGTATGTTCAAACACACACTGATGAACACACACTTGAGTTTGGGTTTGGGCGTGCTCAGGACGCTGTCGTCGTCGTCCAGTTCCGGCCCGCTGTCGCTCGGGTTCTCAAACTCCACGCTGTCCAGATCCAGATCCTCCTCCTCCACCTCGGGGGGGGGCTCTGCAGGGTCCTGCTCCGAGTCCAGCACCTGCACGCACACACACACACACACACACACACACACACACACACACACACACACACACACACACACACACACACACACACACACACACACACACACACACACACACACACACAAAACACTGTTAGGGATCTAAACTTGAAGAGCAACACAAGCAGTGGTAAAAAGTAACTTTCACTTGAGTACTTTTTTTCAAGTTTATGCTACTTTCTACTTCTTCTCCTTGCAATGCAGAGGTGAATGGCACCTATCCCTCACACTGCTCCCCATTGCTGTAGAATAGCGGCTGCTCCTATTACATGGTGCTGTAAATGCAGAGACCTAATGTCAGTGTGGGGGCAGTGCTGTGTTTGGTGATAAAACGTGGATTTAATTTGAATCCTATGCAAAAGAGTTGATAGCACACAAAGAGTTATTTACTGCTTTAATAAGGTCCATTGGGTTATGGACGAGTCGCTGCAACTGTGCATTTATCCAGCTCACTACTTCCCGAACATATGCATTTTTTGCTATTGTAAACAAAATCTGCGGGGTAACCTACCGCCGTTTTTTTTTTCTTGTCACAATTTTTTTTTAAACCTCGTTTTTTTTTTTTTTTTTTTTAACTCCTTTTTTTTACCGAATTTTTACGTTACTAGACAACCATAAAACTTCTTTATTTTTCATATTTAGTACGGAGATATAATCCATAAGGATGTGATACAATAAGTTATATCGTACTATCCAGTGAAATTTTTTTTTCTTCGGAGATGAGTAGAGTAACCGGATTGGACGAATCCTTTTTATAGTGGACCTGTGGTCCGAACTCTTAGTTATTAGTCCATGATGTAGAATAAGAACGTTCTTCCTTCGTCTCGAATTTAGTGCTAATGTTTCGCTATACCGCACATTGAGCGTGTGTAACCCTCCAATACGGAGTGGCGCTCGTCGGTTTTTTGTAATCGAATATATAAGGTTTTGTGCCTCTAATTGTTGTTTCAGCGATTTAGCTTCCGACCGGCGGGATTATAGTAGGCGGCCCACGAGCCTTTCGCACAGCCCCAGTAGACGCTGCAGAAGACCTTTCTCGAGTGCAAGAAGGAAGTGCGGAGTATCTTTAATCTAATAAATTCCTCTGTTGTTCGATACGACAGACAGAGAGTATTTATAGTTGTTGGACTCTACGGGACGGAGGAGGATAGTGTCGTTCTCCGTCGACGTTCGCAGCATGTGTCCAAGTCTCGGTGTTATCCATAGTCGACGTATTTTGTTGGTAGCTTCGACCTCTTGTTGTCACAAAGAGGTTGTCATGGACATATTACTTGTTGTTTTCCTAATATAGATATAAGATAAAGTTCCTCTCCGGACCAACTTTGCGACAACAAAGTCCTAGACCTCCTACTGCTCATGCTGCGACTCCTTCGGCTTCTTCGGTCTCCTCCGAGGTAGCACTCGCTGCTGCAGGTAGTGGTCTCATTCGTCTAGCTATATCTGCAAAATTCTTTAATCTTTTAATTAATTAACTTTAGCTTTATGTCGCAAGACATGTAAGCATGTAACGAAATCAGTTAATATTATCCCCCGGCCCCCCCCCCCCGGAGTGTGTAGTGAATTTGACACGACACGACGACACACACACACACACACACGACACACACACGACACACACACACACACACGACACCACACACACACCACACACACACACCACACACACACACACACCACACACACACACACCACCACAACACGACGACACACGACACACCACAGACACGACAAAAAAAAAAAAAAAAGACACGACACACACACCACACCACACACACCACACACAACACACGAGCACAAATCGTCGTCTTGAAGTGTCGTAAACTCTCAGCCAGCCGGGACGACTTCCGCGAAGTCTTCCA